CCTCAGGCTTCCAGCCCACTGCCTGGCTCCAGGCCCTCAGACCTCTCACCTGTGGCATCTCTTATCTGATTGCACTGTTTGCCAGTTCCCTTAGTCTCTCCCACTACACCCACCCAGAAGTTATCTTCTAGGAGAAAAGAACATTAACCCAAGAAAAAAAAACAAGCTGAACCGGTCCTCCCGCCACATTCCCCACTTCTCGGCTGTTCCCTTGGCTTCAGCTTCTCCAGTGTCAGTCAGACCCCAGCCCCTTTCTCAGCTCCAGCCTCTGCATAAAGAAGCCCTCCCCGGGGTGTCTGTCACTACTCTTCACCCTGGGCCACTCACTGCACAAAACAGCATAAAGCACTGGGAACCAATGGGGCTCAATATTCCCACCTAGAAGATCCCATTAGAGAACTGGAAGGTATATGATGGCAGTCCAGTATGGTCTCACTGTGGACACAAACAAGCAAAAACAACTGTAGTTTGTGTATCTACATCTGCACCAGCAGGAAGAAAGGTATGGAGAGACACACTCCAGACTTTCAAAAGGGGGTGGAAAGTTACTAACCTTTTTCTTAAACATGCTGGCAAGATATTAGTCACAATGGACACACATTCCTTTTAGTTAAAAAATTAACAACAAAAAAGACCCAACTCCATGCCATCTGTTGTGAGATGCCCTCCAAGCTAAGCAGGCGAGGCTCCTTAGTTGACTCCATGTATCCCACTAGACCACTTGCCCCTTCCTAGCAAGCCATTGGTCCTTTCCCAGTATGCTTTTGACTCTTTCCTAGCAGGCTGTTCTCCCTTTTCCATTAAGCCCTTGCTTTTTCCCACTATGCTAACAGCCCCTTCCCAGTAGTCTGTTCGCTCTCCAGCACCCCCCAGGTCACCTCTCTGCTGACACAGCTGCCCAGCTGCCCCCTTCATCTGTGTTAAGTACATGACCCCTCCCTGCCTAAGCTTTATGTCCACGGCAGATGACCCCTACACAACTGTCAGTGCAAGAAAGGTGACCTTTCTTTGCACGAGATGCCCCGCTGGGCTCTAACCTCCTCTCCTCCAGCCTCTCTGCCTCCGCTCTGACCTTGAACAGGCAGAAGGTCTCACAGGGGCCAGAAGTATCCTCAGTCTGCACTTTTCCCTAGAAGGGCAAGTGGGGCTGTGGGCTGCTTCTCCCGCATCATTAGGTCTCTACTCCAATTCCTCCCCTGTGGTCCTTTCCATCCTCCTCTTGCTTTAGTGTGCTCTTTTATCTCCTTTACCATCTGAACCCCACTGGAATGGAGTGCTCCACGGAAGCTCCTTCAGGAACTGCTGAATGAAGGAGTGGATGAGCAGCGTGAGAGGTACAAGGATATGGATATGGCAGCCTTAGTAATCAAACACTGGATCCCCAGAAAGAACTCAGAGCTGGACAAAGTAGTTGCACTGAAAGCTAAAACCAGGGCCAGGATAGGTATTCTTGACCTTGATACAAAACGCTGCTGCATGTGCTGCGTTGAATGGTGGCCACCAAAAGATGTGTCTACCTGGAATCTATGAATGCGACATTATTTGGAAAAAGGGTCTTTGCAGATGTAAGTTAAAGATCTCAAAAGGAGACTATTCTGGATCAGGCTGGGCTCTAAATCCAAGGACAAATGACCTTATAAGACACAGAAGAGAAGACACAGACACAGGGAGAAGGCCATGAAGGCAGAGAATGGAGTGATGTGTCTATACGCCAGGAGACACCAAAGCTTGCCAGCAGCCACCAGAAGCTGGAAGAGGCATGGGACAAACTCTCCCTCAGAGCCTCAGAGGGAGCCAACCCTGCCCACACCTGGAGTTTGGACTTCTGGCCTCCTGAACTGTAAGAAAATATATTTCTATTGCTTTAAGTCACTCAGTTTGTGGTAATTTGTTATGACAGGCTCAGGCAACTAATACACCACATTAGCCCCTGGGCTCCAGCAAGAGTGTATGGGATGCAGATAGGCAACGGTTTCTTTATACCACCAGGAGGGAACAAAATAGTACGTTAGAGGCCTGTCATCTTGAAGGCCTGCATTGACTCCATCCTGGCCTCCCTCTCAGACACATGCAGGGAAAGGCTTGTCCAAAGGTACTATAACCTGAACTGATGGCTTCTCAGCCCTCGAGGTGCACAGCAAAGAGTTCCTCTCATTTCACAATCCCATGTACTCAGGGTCCAGTAATCTAGTCCTTTTCTCTGCAAAAGGCCTTTGCCCTGCCTCCTGGTTTCTGAAGTCACAACAGTCACAGATGAAGCAGCTATGCCAGAATCCATTTTTACAGCCAAGCTCCTGGTGAGGGGAATCTGACCCACTGGGTGAAGTCGATAAGCTGGTTCTGGCTCGATTTAGACGAAATTTTTAACGCTGCTCTTATTGTCTTCATCATCATAGTATACTTGCTCTAGAGCAGCAATTTACCTGCCAGGTTCGAACTTGAACTCGGTTTGGTTCTACTGTATAAACGTTTTCTTCATGCATTGCTAACACTGGAGACTCACACAGGAAGGTACCTGAAATGAAAGATAACACGATGACAGTAGCAGCTAACCTTTTCATATTTCCTCAGAATTTAAAAAGCATTCTCACATATGTTCCCTAATTCATCTTTGCCATCACAACTGCTTTGTGAGGGATGTGATTTTTGCATCTTACAGATGAGGAAAGTGAGGCTCCAAGGTGCGGGGAACTGCCAAAGGCCATAGCTGCCAGTGACAGCTTGTGCAGGCTCTGGACCCGGTGTGCGGACTCAGTGCTGGGCTCCCCACTCTGCACCACTCACTAGTGGTGTCTCTTTTCTCCTATCTGGCAGCAGATGCTATCAGCGGCACAGCACCTCATGGCACCATTGTTTAAGCGAGCATCTGTTTATCTCAGGTGGAATTTCGGAGACCAGTCCCCACAAGTCCTGGTCTCTATCTTTAGACAGGAGATAATTACACACCAAAAAAAAAACCCCAAAAAACCCAGAAAATATCTCGGCACCTGCTGTGCTGTCCTGTTGGGTAGATAAGAAGTTCATACTTGCCCTGAGGAGTCTACGCCAGAAGAGAGAAGATGTGAATTACCAGCACAATGCCAGGCAGAGCAAGAAAAGTCTTATAAGAGAACTTTAGGCAACAAAGCAGTAGAAGAAAAGAAAAAGAGGGAATAATATGAGGAGAGAGGTGAGAACCAGTGGAAATATCCCCAGGGAGGCATGAGGTATTCAAACGAACACGGGTGTCATCCTTGGAACAGAGCAATGGCAAGTCCTCCTGTGAGGTGAGAAGGCCAAGGTCAGGATGGGCGAAGGTAAGAACTCAGCTGGCTGAGCAGCACATTCTGATGGTCACCATGCAGGCTGGAAGATGCTCCCCAAAGGCATCAGGTTCCAACCCCTGGAACCTGTGACTATGAGCTTATATGGACAAGATGTTAAGGTCTTGAGATGGGGAGAGTACTCTGGATCATCCAGGTGGGCCCTAAATGCAATCACTAGTGTCCTTATTAAAAAGGAGGTAGATTTCAGACAGAAACAATGTGACAATGGAGGCACACACTGTAATGATGTGACCTTAAGCCAAGCATTACTAGCAGTCACCAAAAGCTGAAGAAGAAAGAAATAGATTCTTCCCTAGAGCTCTGAAGGGAATATGGCCCTGTCGATGCCTTGATTTTGGCCCAGTAAAACTGATTTGGGACTTCAGACCTCTACAACTGTGAGAGAATAAATTTTTGTTTAAGCTCCAGGAAATTCATATAGGCGTGTACTAAAGAACAGAGGATAAAGGCAGCCCAGTGAAACAGAGAATTGGAGAGATATATGGGACGTAGGTGTTTTGAGAGTGTTGGAGCATCTCTGACAATCCATCTTGAAATTCTCAAAGGCTGGCCCTGGTCAAGATGCCATGGGGCTTACTGCTCTGCATGGTCTGGAACCAGTGCAAAAGTTGGATGTGTAGCAAACGCCCTCCTTGGAAAGCACTGCAGGCTTATTTTTGAGCTTTTATTGTCCTGCAGCCCGGGAAGGTTTGTTGGCCCAGACCTGGCTGCACTTCTCAACAACCATGACTAGATTGAACAGAGTGTGGCCCAGAGGGCCTGAGAGACCTTGGCAGCTCAGGGCCAAAGCTGTAGCACTGGCTCTGGAAACAAAGGTACAAGCATGAGAACTGACACGAGGGTCTCCCCATGGCCCTGTGCCAGCCCTCTGCTCACTGCACAGGCTCACCCCCCCATCAGATGGTGAGAAAATAAAGCAGGGTGCTCTGAGTCCCCTCAGGTGTGGGGGAAAAGACGCCCACCTGCATTTCGTAATGTGGCTCCAGAAAGCTCAAAGATCACCACCTGTTTTCCATTCCAGACGGCGACAGCATCCTAAAAGGAATTATGGAAATTAATAAGCAATCTGCCATCTAGACCGTTTGCCATTCTGAATGACCCTAACGACTGACCACGTCTTTTGTCTACATTGAAGAAAACCCCCAACCGACCCCACAGGTCACCCTCAGTCACCTTGGTGGCGAACACTCCACTGATGTGCATGTCTGTGCGCAGGCTGTGCGTCAACCCCGTGGACAGGAAGGACACACTGAGTAAGCTCGGGGAAACCTGCACCACAGCCACTTGCTGGTGGAAATGTGACGACATGGCCTGCTCGCTGAGGATCACCACAGAGCTGATGTTGTTCACTGCCAGAAGGTTCTTTCTGGAGCCCCACTTCATTCCCATGTGGGAGAGAAAGAAACAAAGTGTGAACAAAGGGGGAGAGATACAGTCAAGAAAACATTACACAATTTCCAAGCACTATTTCTTCTTGTTGTTAAAAAATTATTTTAAAAAATGTATAAGTGTAAAATGTGTACTTTGTAGACAAAGTTTATGATACTGACATCCAGACTCGTGGTAGAGCAGGTATTTACCTGTATGGCTGTTCTAGCTTGTGTCTGTTCTGACTATTTGCACATCTTCTAGAATTTACTTTTCTGATATTTATTTAAGAATGCTTAATTTTTAAAATGCATAGCAATTTACACAATGTATTAACTTATCCAGCTTTCCTCCAGTGATATGAAATGCCACTTTTTTTAACTTCATAATTTCTTTTTTTCTTTAATTTTATTAATTTTGAGTATACAGTACATTGGTTATGTAATTTATAAAATGATCCCCCTAATTGTTCTTTCTCTCCTCTGGCTCTCCACCTAGCCAATACATTAATGCTGACTGCATTCTCTATGCCCACTCCCCATCCCCATGACCATCTTTATCAACTACTAGTTTGTACTTTTTTAACCCTTCGCCCCATTCTCCCCGTTGTCTATCACCGGATTGTCCTCTATATTTGTGTCTGTTTTTGATTAGTTTGTTCTTTTTGTTCCTTAGATTCCGCATATATGAAATGCCACTTTCATAATTTTATATTAAACTTCCAAATCTATACAAATCTGTTTCCGGATTTCCTACCCATCCACTGATATATTTATTCATTCCAGATTAAGCGCTATTTTAATTGCCATGGTTTTGAGATATATTCTAGTATATTATACAGAAATGTTCTGATGTTATAAAATTTTTCTTGGCCATTTGCTTTCCCAGATGAGTTTAGAATTATTGTGTTGAATTCTCCCAGAAAAAAAGTCATTATTTTTACTGAATGTACATGTAATTTGTAGATTTACTTGGGAAGAAATGGCTCTTTTACAAGATTGAGGCTTCTCTTTGAAGAACACAATATATCTCACCATTTACTCAGTTTTTCTTTTATGTCCTTTAGGAGTTAGTGTGGCTTGTGCTATTATTTAAAATGGCATTTCTTTTCAATATGAGTGAAGTTACACGTGTTTTTCACATATTCTACTAACTGCTCTTCAGTAAAAGATCTCTATCAGTTTTTCCATTAAAGTTCTTAATATTTTTCTTATAAATGTGAGTTTTCTTCATGTCCTTTATTCTAAGGTATCACTTAAGATAAGCCACGAATTCAAAATAATAGCTTTCTGTGTAAATATCTCTCCTCTCACAAAAAAACAAAACAAAACAACACTTTAAATGTAAACATCAACTGGAAGAGCTGCACGTCAACTTCACATTAAAATAAAGAAAACAATATGCATTGGGAATAGGAAAATATGGTGTTTTAGAGTTCAACACTTCATACCCTTTAAAGTGACTATTTACTGAGCTTAGTTTTCCTTCAATTCTAGTCTTGTTCTCCATTGCCAAATTTGAAATAAGTTTTTATGTATTTAAACTTGTTAGTCTCTGCTTTTGCAACTGCTTTTATTACTTCAAAACAGAGAAAGTTGTATTTACAGATCTGATAATGTCATATTTTTAGCCAGTTGTTTTGTCCTAACTGTAAAATATTTTACTCATCCATCTAGAAACTATTTTTATATATGGCCTATGATGAGGACTGTAATTCCCAAAATTACTATAAGGTATCCCTAAACTATTTACTACATAAGTTTTCCTTTCCTGATTAGTATAGGATTAAGTAAATTTTAACTTTAAGATTTACATAGAATAGATTGGAGCGACAACTTCCAGCACAGCAGGATGAGAAGTCCCGAGAACATTGCAGGCATAACTGATGAAAATTACGATAAAACCACCATCTAATTCTCTGGAAACTAGGCATAAGGCAAATGAAGAAGCACTTATTTAAGAAAGCACTAAATCTGGTAAGAACAGCAGAGTCTGTGGCACCTAAGTCACTCCACTGCCCCCCTCCTGCCCCTCGGTTCAAGATGGGGCTACAAGATGGGGCTCCCTCTCCTTCAGCTCCCCCAGCTCCCTGTGGAGGGCTACAGCATGTCCCTGTGAGGGGCTAGCCTCCAGCATTTCTCCCCAGCTTGATGTTACAGAGGCCACTTCAAGGTGAGTAGAGAACTCAGATCCATCCATAAGAACAGAGCGCTCTGGAGCATTCCCCAAAGGAAGTCACTTCATTCGAACTGGAATGTGGGTAAGTTCAAGTCTAAGGACACTCTTGAGAACAGAGGAGGTTTTGGTGGTAAGCGTTTGGAGAAGGCTGGTAGCTTCATGACAGCAACAAGCTCAGCAGCAGGCCAGACAGTTTACCAGACAGAACCAGGGGGAAAAAGATACCTAAGAGGACCCCTTCTGGGTTAGAACAAACCTGACACAGAACTCAAAGACCAACTCTGTCCAAACTTAACTGGACCAGACTATAGAGCAATTGGTGCCCCAGGGTATTATAGAAAACAGATCAGGCAACTGGGGGGCCTAACGGAATCTGTAATACTAGATGGAGGCAAGAAGCTTATCAGAGATCAGGAAAAGGACAGTCAAGGAGAGTCCCCCTAAAACCGTAGGTGTCCCAGCGTGACTGTGCATGTGCCCCAGGCTGGGCCCTCTGAGGAGCAATGTCAGAGGCTTCACACTGCAAGGGAACAAGACATCACTACAGTGGCCCACCCAGTCAGTCACTAAACAAATAGATAAGCAAACAACAGCAACAAGCCCTGGAGGTGAGTGGGGCAGGAGGGTCGGTATCCCAGAGTTGACACAATATTTTAACTAAAATGTCTAGTATGCAACAAAAAATAAAGTGCCATGCAAAGCAGAATACAACTCACACACGGAGAAAAAAAGCAGGCAACAGAAACTGCCCCAAAAGGGCCCAGATGTTGGACTTAACAAAGACTCCGAAGTAGCCACCATAAACATATTCAAAGACCTAAAAGAAACCAGGCTCAAAGAAGTAAAGGAAGGTGTGATACAATGTCTCACCAAACAGAGACTTTATTAAGAAAGAATCAAATGTCCAAAAGGAATTAAAACACAAAAAACTAGTACACCAATGTTCACAGCAGCATTATTCATAATAGTCCAAAAGTGGAAACAACCCAAATGTCCATCAGTGGATGAAGGGATAACAAAATGTGATCTATTCAGACAGTGGACTATTACTCAGCCACAAAAAGGAATGAAATACTGACACATGCTACACTATGGATGAACCCTGAAAACAATGCTCAGTGAAAGAAATCTCATGTCTATGCATGTTTTGTGTGATTCCACTGATATGTAATGTCTAGAGTAGGCAAATCCATAGAGACAGAAAGTAGATTAGTGCCTCATAGGGCTGGGGGAGGAGGAAATGGGAAAGGGCAGTCAAGGAGAGCCCTCCTAAAACCACTGGTTTTAATGGGTACGAGATTTTTTTCTGGGGTGATGAAAATGTTCTAAAATTTATTGTGATGGTTGCAAAACTCTGAATATACTAAAAACCATTTGGTATGTTATGTATCTCAATAAAGCTGTTAGATAGATAGATAGATAGATAGATAGATAGATAGATAGATAGATAGATAGATATATAGACAGACAGACAGACAGATAGATAGATAGGTAGGTAGATAGATAGATAGACAGATAGATGAAAGATAGAGATAATAGAGATAGAGATAAAGGGATGAGAGGATAGAAAAAATAGATATAGATTACTACAGATCCACAATCCCTCATCTGCAATTCTGAGCTCCAAAAAGCCTTTATTTTCAGATAGTCTTTTAAGCTGAATAACTGAAAAAAATAGGTTCAAAGTCAATTATTTCCTCCACTTCTGCAGGGCATAGAATGAGTGCACCTAACACCTGGTACAGTTGTACCTTTATCTGTGTGATGTTTCCTTCAAGCTCAGTAGGGGTTTGAAGAGTCCACCTGTCTTTGCCCTCCACTCCTCGGCTGCTCTGGGGTCCTGGCACCTTTCTCCACATGGCTACTCGCCCTTTATCGGTACCTGCTGCCAGGAGACCTACAGGTAAAAACAGAGTTCACAGTCACTGACTTGAAAAGGGAGAAGAACAGCCACAAGCTCCCTTCTCTGACCACCCTCTCTGAAGTAACAGCCCATCAGCCCTCACTTGCTGTCTCTTACTTCATGAGAACTGACAAGTGCCTGGAGATACAGGGCGTGCATGTGCGTGTGGGGGTGGTGGGGGTGTTGGTGCTGGTTTCTGTCTCTGTGAAATGAGCCTGTATGCCTGTTCAATACTCTTTCCTAATGCTAGAACGGCACTTAGCACTCAGCAGGCACAAAATAAATGACGCTCTGGCTCATCTCCTATTCTTTCTGTCCTGTATGTATGTGTACACACTTACACACAGTCATACATTTACACATATATATACACTTCTAAAGTTTCCCATACTGTCTTTTACTCGGGGTTTGGGGAAGGAATGGAGATCATATAGCCATGTTGGCCACACTTTTTAAACCCCTTGATCTTCACGTGGGATAAAAACATTTACTGTTATTTCCTGTTATTTTCTCATTACAGACCGACTTTATTCAAATGAATTTACATATTTATAATTGAATTATCAGTCTTTGAATAGCCACCGACAGAGCAAAGGTTGAAGCTGGTTCTCTTTCTCCCTTATGCCAGCCCAAGAAATCTCACCTTTGACTTTACAGTAAGAAACACAGTTTATATTTTCTCCTTTTTCGAAACCGAACTTCTCCTCTGGACTCAGTACATAATTCTCTCCTCGATCCAAGTCCCAGAATCTACAAGAGAAGGAAGAAAGCCCACTGAGGGGATTGTGTCAACGGATTGCCCTCAGCTCTGAGTGGCTTGACCAACTTGCAGAGTAAACTGTAAAAATCAGGAAAATGTCATGGCCCTTTGGACTCTGATATGAAAAGCAGGCGATCATTACATTTAGATGTTTTGTGCACTGTTCATAATGAAAGGGAGCAGCTGTTAGTAAAAGAGGGTCCATGTGTGACACCATGTCACAGTGAGAACAAAACCATGTACACTCAGGAGAATCCCCAGTATCATGTGGAGTTACAGCAGTTAGACGCAAGAGAACATAGCACATCATTCTCTCTATACCAAGCTCAAAAAACAAACAAACAAACAAACAAACAAACAAACAAATAGGCAAAGTGACTCCACAGGCAGACATCAGGATAGCCACCCTCATGGTTGGGGGGGGTGGGGGGGCTGGGGAGGAGGAAGCCTGGGGTCTCTTCTATGTTCTGTTCTTCGATTTCAGAGCTGTTACATGGGTATGATCAATTTGTGAAAATTCATAATTAGTGTATTTTTCTGTCTGTATGTTCTACTTCAATTAAAAAGTTTACTCAGAAGAGACTGACTTTTCATTACATACTCCCTGGAGTGTCAGTTCTTACCTGAGGGCTGATTCCCCAGTGGCAGTCACCAGAAGGCTGCCTTCGATCAAAGCAATGTCGGCATGGTGACCCGTTTTCCCACTCAACTTCACCTGTATAATAAAAAACAACCCTAAAGAAGCATGTCACTTTGCCGAGACGGCGTATCCCTTGAAAAGACACTGCTAGCTTTCCAGGACACACAGGCCAAAGCTGACAATTACTCTGGCACATTAAATGGTTAACAATAGCTGCTGCCCAGCACACGGTACACAGTGATCACTTTTCCTGAGTGGCTACCAAGCTGAGCAGCGTTCAGGCACCACCACGTCCTCTAAGGCAGTTGTCACACCCTGCTTTGCAGGGAACAAACCTGCCCAGGGACCACCAGCCAGTGAGTGGCTCAGAGGGGATTCGAACCCAGGTCTATGTGATTCAGTGACCATGTTTTCAACTACTGTGCTAGAAGATACATAAATGGCCAAATAAACAACGACTTACAAAAAATCAATCTGCTCTATAATCTACAGGAGTATCTTTAGGGAAAGTCCAGAGTTCTCTGAGAAACATGAATCCTCCTGGTATAAACGAAGAAACTAGCAGCAGGGCAATGACGAGCAGCACCTGACTGAGGGACAGGCTGCACCCCAATGCCTTCAGTGTCCTCTTGGTGGTGAGGGCCCGGAGCTGATGCCATGAGGAACCTTCATGGACACTAAGGTGTTTCTCAGTAACCACAGTAAAACACCTGCTACCCAAGGACAGTGACTGTTATACACACCCCTTGGGTGAAATAATGTGCACGTGTGGCCGAGGGGCAGCTGTGACAATGTACATAGTTAGTGAGTTCCTTCCATGTCTCATCTGCATGTGGCTGGGAAACAGGGAAATGTCCCTGCTCACGTGGTTCCATCGTGGAGGTCGAAGGGGCTGTGCAAGGAGAGCGGTTATCTGTCACGCCCAGGTGTGTAGGCTATGAATTAACCAATCACGGGAGAGCAGCCCTGTGCAGCCCAGACTCTCACCCTTTCTGTCCACTGACGCCTGAAACTCCTTCACTATTTCCCTGTGAACTGAATGTTGTATAATAAATAATGGTACTAAACAGCTCAGTTGGCGGTACTAAATGGGTCACTGGAACAGATTTGCCAAGGAATTGGAAACGATGTTTAGATCAGGTCAGGAGAACGTGACCCAAGTGCTGCCTCTCTGCCAAGGCCACTCCCCGACCCACCTTCATCATTTCTTCCACCTCGCCCTCAGGAGTCACCAAGTACAGGGACAGCAGCAGGTTCTCTGTGACTGCCACCAGCGCCTCCCTCTTCTCAATGTAGAACAGCATTTGGATAGAGCTGTCTGTGGATGCTGCCATGCTGGTCTTGCCTTTCTCATCCACGTAGTGCACGGTCCCTGAGGACAAAGGAAGCAGTCATCCAGTAGCTTGGTATTCATGAGAAGTCATTTCTATCTCCTTAGAGGCATTTTCAAAATAAACATCTTCATTATAAAAATTTGCAACGAAAATATTTAAAAAACATCTACACATGACCTCGCAGGTTGCCATCTCTGAAATAAGCTCCATTTTATTGGTTTAGTTCAGACTTGACTCCTGTCTCCGCCAGTTCTTCCTTCATCCGCACTAACCTTAGAGGTTTCTGACGTTCACATTGACGACTCGCCTGCCTCTGCAGCCTTAAAACTCCTAGATTATCTAACATGAGGAATACATCTGTCATCCATGCATTGAGGCCCTAGATTATGACCTCCCATAGCCACCAGGCCCTGTCCTCGCTGTCCTGTGCATGGTCAGTTACCTGTCTTGCCCCATCTAAGCCGCAGGGCCTCTCTAGCCAGGAATCCCTCCTCCTGCCCGCCCCTTGCCTGCCAGCCATTTGCTCAACCTCTTGTTCCTCTCTTAGGCTTTTGAGCTCGGTGGGTGGAACCTTCTGCCAGTTCTCAGGAATTTGATTCACGGCTGCTGCTCTCCAGAGCCTCCTCATCCTCCTGGTCTACTCACATCTTATTCCCAACTGATAAATTGAGTTCTTATTAAACTGAAAAGCATGAGGTTCTCTAGAGGCTAATTGCAATAATGAGCATCTTCTAGGCACGTACTTGTGGCAGGCTCAATGTTAGGCACTTATGCGTGTTAACTCGGCTGGCATTTCCAGCGAGCTCCTGCGGCAGGTACTCTTACTATCCTGTTTTACATAAACATTAGGAAGCTGAGGCTCACAGACGTGGGATAATTTGCTTCCGAAGCCCACAGCCACCGAGTGCAAGGCAGGACTGACACCCACTGTACACTCCTCTTCCAGTTGCCAATGTTTTTTTCCTTCACATATCTCTTTCTCACATCATCTCCTTGACTCTGTTCCTACGGGGCCCTTGCATCTCCCCTCCCTGTACCCCTACTGTGCCATGTCTACTCCATGTCCTTTCTGGGGCCTTCCCTTGGCTCTGTCTCTTTACTTTCTGAAATGAAAGATCTCTCTAAAGCCCACAATCTCTTCTAGCTATCATCTGTTCTCTTCCTGTCCTGGTGACACAGCCTCCTCAAACCTCACAACCTTTGTGCAAGCCTCACTTCCACTGGCCTCTTTCCCATAGCAGACATATACTCGTAAACATTCTCATGTGAATGTAAAAGACTCTTTTTTTTCTCTTAACTTCATATTGCATTTATCAGCTGCCACTAGGGCAGACTGTCTCACTATTTACACTAAGGAGAACTGTGTTAAAATCAAGACAGATGGTGCTCAACGCAGACCACCCACGAGGACTGGTTGGTGGTTGCAGGCTGGAAGCAAAACCCACTCCATCCTGTTCACACTCCATTCCCAGAGCTTATCCAGGTACCAGGCAAATAAGAGGTGCTTCAGAATTATACAGACTGAATAACGGGAGTGCAACAAAAGCATCTTTTCAAGATGGTCTGTCTGCTGCCGTGCACACAGTAAGCAGTTGGGATGTAACTGCTGATCGACGGCTTCCTAGCGAAAATCCCTCAAATACAAATAGAGCTCAACTTATCTCGAATCAGAACGAAGTAAAGCCATTCTTTGAATGCTGGATAAACAACTGCAAAAAGCTGGCATACAGTATCACTCTAAGATTGGCACGCATACAGTCTGTTATTTTTTGCAGAAATACCATCCATTTGTTTAAAATCCTTATCAGATACCCCTAAAACATTTCAGTGTCTTAGAATCCCAACCTAAGTTTCTCACCATCCATCAAGCTGACAAAGAATGACAGTCCTTCTTGAGAGCCCATTTTCAAGAAACTTCCAAAGCTACTTTTCCTCCAGTTAAACATGTCCAGGGCTTTCTCATCACCGCTCACAGCTGCCTTTGCCAACTGAACAAGGTCCCTGAAAGTAAATATGACACAGGAAGTCAGGATTCCTTGCTGCCCCTCATTGGAAGGTGCTGTCACTACAGATGTGCTGAGAGTGGCTCATTGCTATGACTCCTCCAGTGTCAGGAAAAGCCATATCTCTGCCCTAACCAGCCCCCACCAAAGATGTAAACGTAAGGCCACCACATGAGCTCACACTTACTCGCCAGGAGGGGGAAGCCGGAAGATGCAGTGAGTCAGGTGTTTTCCATAGTCGTGTTTCAGCAGGGGTGTCCCTTGTACTCGACCCCTTTGGTCCAGCCTCCATAAGAGCAGGACGCCAAGCTGGAAAATCCAACATCACACGTGGAAGAAATGCACTCACCAAGTGACTGGTAGAAGGCAAGAGTTTACACTGCACAACAGAACACATGCTTATTCCTTTTTTTTCCTTTTTTTTTTTTTTTGACAAAACTACTACATGGGCACTGTGAAAAATCCAAGCAATTCTAAAATGTTCAACAAAGGAACCAGAAACTCTTCTACGTGTCTCTTCCCATTCTTATTCCCTAGAGATAACAACTGTCACATGTTCAGTTTTTAAAACAGACTTTTAATTTTAGAACAGATTCCAGATTTATGGAAAAGTTGTGAAGACAGTTCTGAGAAGTCCCACACCTAGTTCCTGTTATTATTAGATCTTACAATAGTGTGGTACAGAATTAATATTGATACACTATGTTAACCAAAGTCTAAATTCACATTTCCTCAGTTCTTCCCTAACACCTTCTTCCTGTCCCAGGATCCCATCAGAACCCATATGACATTTGGTCGTCATGTCTCCTTAGACTTCTCTTGGCTGGGACTTTGTCTCAGACTCTCCTGTTTTTGATGGTTTTGACAGTTCTGAGGAGGTCTATAAGGGATTCTGTAGAATGTCTTCCACTGGGATTTGTCTATTTTTCTCATTGTTGACTGGGGTTGTGGGTTTTAGAAGACCATAGATATAAAGTGTCCTTCTGGTCATATCACATTAGAGGTCTATGCCATCAACATGACTTATCTCTGTGATACTGACCCCAAATCTCCTGGCTGAGGTCATGTTTGTCAGGTGTCTCATTGTGTAGTTCCTCTCCCCACCACCCCTTTCCATTCTGTACTATTTGGAAGAAAGTCACTATGCATAGGGGTAGGGAGTTATGTCTCATCTCCTTGAACATGAAGCATCTATATAAATTATTTGCAGATTCTTCAGCATGGGAGATTTGCTTCTTCTCCATCATTTAATTATTTACTCAATCATAGATTTATATCAGTATGGAACTGTGGATATGAATATTTATTTTCTACTTTGGGTTATAATCCAAGACTACCATATCTGTTGCTCCAACTGTTCTAGCTTTGGCCATTGGGAGCTCTTTCAGCTGGCTCCTGTGACTCTTTGATGTACCCTGTCATTGTGGGTTTTGGGAGTACTTTCTTACTTCCTGGCACTAGAGATACATTGGGCTCATTGTCCTGCCCCAGCCCTAGAGTCAACCATCAAGGAGCCCTGGTTCCTTATACTGGAGGAAACCAATAGAAACCAGGATCTGGGTGCTAGGTGTACTACATGTTCAATTTTAAAGTCATCAAAGTCTCAAATTAATGGCACAGACAAGTGAGAGAGAAGTTCAAGGTGGCAGAGAAGAGACAACTCTATCAGAAGTGGTCCAGGTGGCTCTATGACTGGGGATGGGAGCTAAGCTTTGCCAAATGGCAGTATTTCCATTTGAATCTGTTGGCAAAGTGCTTTTGCTTTGACACTCAGGCATTCCTCAAGGCATGTTTCCTGCTCAAGGTCAGGGGACGTTTTAGCATGCAGTACACTTGTCCTTCCTCCCTGCTTTCAATCAGCATTGATTCCAATATACCCACTTGCTGGCTAACATTGCTTTATTGCATATAAGAATATAATTTTCAAATAAGGTCAGCTAAAAGCAACTTATACAGTAAGTCTCTAAGAAAATTTATGTAAAATCGAAAATAGTATGTAACATGACTATACTTTTAAAAAAAAAGAAGTAACATGAGTATATGCGTAATATGAATAGTATATATCATCAGACTAATTTCTTCTTGACTTTGTCAGCTTTATGTAGAATAAAAGCAGCATTGGTTCCTTTGTGTTTAGTGATTCTTTTCAAATAACATTTTAAAAATTATGCTTGGATAGTGAAAAAGACAAAGACAGAAAAGGAAAATGTTTCCTTACCCTGCTGCCCAGCCTCCTCCCTAGAGAATCATACTATGGGATCCTGTATGTCTGATGACGTTTTATGCACACGTGGCATCTGTAGAGACGTCCCTCTGCTCTTCCCCTCAAGTGCAATCATCCAGTACTTATTTTTTAACATAATAATTGACTTTATAGATCTTTATTAGCACACACAAACTTCTAGCTGGCAACTTAACCAGGTTCCTGAATACAATCAAGACACACTGAGCATGTCCAGGTTTCTAGACTGTTGCTGGGAGGGAAGTTGTTCCATACAAATGGTCAGAGCTCCTGTACCCCAGGAGCAGCAATTCTGTTCAGTCACAGGACCGTACAATACAGCCCTTGTTTTGACAGAAGGACAGACTCAGCCCACCATGATCATGAATTAAACTTCTATTGACTCCTGAGGATGCGATGAGTCAAATGTGTTCTGTCTCAGGTTCCGGCTAATCAGGTAGAAATGCAACATGAAGTGGAGACTTAGAGGCAAACTCTGAGATGTCCCATCCCCTTTTTGGCAGGCATGTACCCCCTATCAATTCTAAATGTTTTTGAACCTCTCACTGCTACTATAGGGTAATCCTATGTGTTCAGAGCTGTCTCTTCACTATCTGTCATTCCTTCCAAGTTATTTCAATGACTGTAATTTTATATAGTAAGGCTCTAAAGAAAAGTTACCCATGAGGTGAGAAATCAGCCCTATCCATGAAGAATGAGAGTGTAATATATTAAGGGACTGATGTAAAGTTAGGATGTTCTAGATGCGATTGTCAGTGACATACTGTCACTTCAATGGATGGGTCATTGTGTTAGGTTCTCTAATATTTTATCCTGATACTAAGAACTGACTTGCCCTTTGTCATGCATGGGTTTACTGGATCCTACCCTTGGCTGTGCAAGAGAACGCAGAGAACTGAGATCCGGTAATGTGACATTCTCCCCTCTTCTTTACCAATGGAACTGCTAATGGATATTTCATGGAACATCCACCCAGTAGCCCTTTTCTAGGGATCTCTCCACCTCCCTGGGCACCACCAACTGCTGCATATGTGGGCACTTGGCCTAAGCTTAACTTGAGACAGAGGAGGAGGGGCGGGCAATTTTGCATGGGGGCTGAAACGAGAGCAGGTGAGCTCCTTTGTTTTCATCAGCTAGAGATTATGCCATGTAGACAGAATGGGACAGAGAGAGAGAAGATAGTATCAGGAAGGTACACCGAAAGACGCAGAGCTGGCACATAGATGTGTCTGCTAGCATTTCATTCTTAGTTACAGACTAAGTTTTATACACACATAAACAGTTAGCCGTGCTCCTGTCCCTGGAGACCCTGAGACCCTCTGATGGCTTCAGATTAATTGCACCTTCTTGCTTTAGCTGGTCTGGGTCAGTTTCACTGGTAATCAGACACATGTTAACTAAAGCAGGGTCTCTGTGAGAAGAGCCAAGAGGTCCTCCCTCAGCCAGGCCTATTGGCTCGGCGGTGCAGTACTCCACGTGCTTAGCTGTTTGCTGTTAACTTCTCTTTCTGCTTAAGCCCATTACTCGATTAGGACCAGCAAAGTAGAGATTTTTCTTAGAAGGATTAGGTATTTCTGCTCTTAAATATTTTGACTCACAGGACTTGATCATCACATATAAGTTTAGTTTCATACCTGAGTTAATTTACTTTATTAGTTGTCTTTTAATACAGTCAAGATGAGAAAAACAAAATTCAATGATCTTGAATTCTTTTATTCCTATAGGGGATTTGAAGAGCATTCCTCAGCAGAAAGGTGCGAAAGATCACCAAAGAAGTCTGAATCTGGGGACAGAGCAATGTCATTAGGTGGGAACTGAATAGAAAAATAAAAGATCACCTAGGAAAAAGGAACAAACCAATAGAAAAATAAGCAAGTGATATGACTAGAAAAAGAAATATTGATTGCTACTGTGATGTTCATCAACAACAGCAAGAGAAATGCAAACTAGAACATGACTGAGATGCTCCTTTTTCAGGAAAAATTCTGAATCTGGATACGACACTCTGTGGGGAAGCACATGCTGGTACAAGCTGGTACAAGCTCCACGGAAGGAAATTTGGGAACACCCAGCAAAACACAAGTGTACGTGTCCTAAGGCCCAGCCGCCCCACTTTTAGGAATTTCTTTAAACTTCCATATATGTGAAATGACAAAAGCATGAGGTTAGCCACTGCGTCACTGTTTGTTTAGCAAAAGATTGGGAAACCACTGAAATGTTTATCAGCAGGGGTTGGAGAAACAAATGACAGTACGTTCACATAATGAAGGGTAGGTTAAAAGAGAAGAAGGAAGTTAGTTAGCTGTTTACCAATAAAAGAGATCTGCAAGACACGGAATAAAATGAAAAAGCCAGCAACGGCACAGAATTGCATGCTATCACTTATGTGAAAAAAGAGGAGTCTAAGGAGATAAGATCCTCTGTGTGATGTCTCCAGCCAAAACTATTTAATTTAAAGACATAAGCAAACAAAATGAGAGACAGTCTACATAAAAACTAGTCTGGACTCCTCAAAAATGTCAATGTCATGGAAGACCAAAAGAGAGAGAGAGAGAGAGAGAGAGAGGGAGGGAAAGAAATTAGAAAAGAGAAGAAAAGAAAAGAAAAGAAAAGGAAAAGAAAAGAAAAAAGAAAAGAGAGAAGAGAAGAAAAGAGAAAAGAAAAGAAAAGAAAAGAAAAGAAAAGAAAAGAAAAGAAAAGAAAAGAAAAGGAAGGAAGAAAGAAAGAAGAGAAGAGAAGAGAAACAAGACTAGAGAACTATTCTTGATTTAAGGAGACTAAAGGGAAATGACAACTAAACACAATGCATGATCCTTGAGTGGATATTGGGTTAGGGCAAAGTCATCTATAAAGAACATTACTGAGACAATTAGAGAAACTATCATATGGACTGCATACTGGCTACTAGTATGGCCTCAATGTTAACTTTTCTGAGTTAAATATATATAGCAATATTGTAGTTATGTAGAATGTCCTTGTTCTTAAGGATCAATGCCAAAGGATGTAGGGGTGAAGTACGACATCTGTGACAAACTCAAATAATCAGGAAAAATATATATATAAATAG